CACGCCCTTCTTGGGCGGCTGACTCAGTAATAATGGGACTCCTTGGAATCGCGAACAAACAGGCTCATGTTTATGGATTACCTCAACATAAATCTAAGCATGCCTACGTAAATAAAATAATAAAATAAAATGCATTATAATATAATGATAATCTAAATGTTCTCTCACAAAGAAAATAAATCTCCAATGGATATAAATGATGCTTAGGAGGAGTTCGAAGTAGCATGGAGAAATAAAAGCTTATGCTATTTTAATTTTTAAAAAGCCAAGTTACACGTGTAATAGGATCTCAAAAGTATTTCAAGATGTATGAATAAAGACTGGCAGTAGTAGATCTAAGTTAATACTTTTTTGGTATTTTGAATGATTGGAAATGTACTCGTAAAAATATTCTTTATGCACTGTTCTGTCTTTGCCCAACATTCTATAAGAAATACATAACCAAAGAAAAGAGAAAGAAGTCACTTAGATATGGCAGAGCAAAGTGTTTTGCTGAAAGTCCTTTGAGCAGATACTTTTTATTGTGTGATTTGAAAACGTCTAAGCGTGGAAAAGTATTGAAAATCCACCTTTCGTTGTGCTTCGCTCAGCGGGGTCGGGTTTATGTTCTCCTTCTGGGGTAGGCACGGCCTTGCCCCTGAAGCCATTAGACTGGGCACACCATGTGCCAGGCGTCTTTTCCTCTCTGTCTGCCTGGACTGCCTTGTGGCGAAAGAAGCATCACCAAAAGCGTGCCCAGCTCCATGCAGAGGAGTGGACTGATGTCGTTGTAACCCTGCACTGGGACGCATGGGATCAGAAACTGTGCTTTCACATTGGAAGCACCCCGTGTTTTGTCCTGTGCATATTAACTTTAAGTTGCTGGATATTTTCTTACGTTCCCAGTAAGTTATATGTATCGGCCAGTTATAAGCCAGCTTTGTGTTTTCTCTGAAGAGCAGTTCTAACAGCTATTCTTATAAACACAGGGGTCCAGTGATTTGGAAGCTAGCCGTGAACACTGGGTGGGACCCCTGGCAGCAGTCGGGCGGAGGAGGTCTTGGTGGGGGCAGAGCCTGGCACCTGGAGGTCACTGTGGCCGAGGCAGGTGGTGTGGATGGGTTATGAGGAAACAGAAGCATGCAGATTTGTAGGGTATGCATGGGTTTCCAGTATGGATCTCTGTGAGTGCCAACTCTGATCCTTAGGAGTACTGGTGAGGACAAGGCAGATACCCATTTAGGGGGCGGGGGACAGTGGGAGGCTGGGTTTTGGAACAGTCAGCTTCTGTAATAGGGGCATAAGGTCAGAGCAGCCCTGGCAGCAAGGATGAGTTGGTGCCAAGTCATGCTGACAAGGATTCTTTAAATTCCTCCCCACTAGAGGTATGATTGTTCTGATACATGGGGCAGGGCTGGCCTTTGCACGGGGATCTGGCTGGGGGCACTAGAAAGCTGTGAAGTTAGGGAGCTAAGTCCTGCCTTCTCCAGGCCAGGGTCTCCTGGCCCGTGGTTGCAGCGGGTCCAAAGCCTCATTCATTGATTTCTACTGCAAGTATTTTTTGAGCCCTTGTTTCCTGGGTTCTGTGGAAGGGGCCCTGCCTTCATGAAGCTGAGGATCCAGTGGGAGGTGATAAACAATGAAACACAGTAGCCTGCCACCAGCAAAACCAAACCACCGCAAACTAATTTATGATTTTGATTCATGAGGAATGAACAGGACAATGAGAGAGCAGTGGGAGGTGCCTCCTCAGGAAACGTGATTGGCAAAGGTGACATTTGAGCTGAGGCCCAAGGGATAAAATGGGCCAAGCATGCAAACACTGGGGAGGATCATTTCAGGCAGTTACAGCAAGTGCAAGCGCCCAACATGGGAAGGGTGATGTGTGTGAAAACCGAAGAGACCAGTGGGCTGGAGCTCAGAGGGAGGGGGAAAGAGTGGCTGGATAAGGCTGGAGACCTGCAGGAGCAGATCACGTGGGTCATCTTGTATTTAAAGAAAGCAAACAAAGGGAAAGCCAGCTTTTCAGCTTTAATGGTGCATTGGAAAAACAAAACTCTAGAGTGAGGCTTAAATTCCCCTCAGTTGTGCAGATGTCACTACATAATAACAGCTGTTCCGTTCTTTCTACTTTTTTCCATATTGTGTGATACATACCCTTTTAATTTAGTGCTTGTTATTATTATACATTATCGTTTGTTAACATCTTTCTAAAACTTTAATCAGATCATGTCACTCCTCAAAATTTCCGTGTCATCTGTGCTCACCCACAGCAAGATCTGAAATCTTAACCATGATACCCCATTTCCCACCTCTCTGGCCGCCTCCCCTCAACTCTCTCCTGGCTCATACCCGTCTGGCCTCCTTACTGTTCCGCAAACGCGGCAAGAACTGGACCCATCGCCACGCCCGGACCTTTGCATTTGCTGTCCTCTATTCCTGAAACTAACTTCCGTCATAGAGTCACATGTCTTGCCCTACCCCATCCCCTCTCCTTCAGGGAAATTTCCTTCTGCTTAAGTCACATGCTATCAGAGAGGACTCCTTTCACCACTTACCTCAAATAGTACCTTCCCTCTGTCACTCACCATCCCTTTACTCCGCTTTTTTCTCCATGGCACTTATCAGCCCTGGAAATACATTTATATCTTAGCTTTTTAATTGCCAATTCAACCCCCTCCCCAAGAAAGTAGAACTAGGTTTTGCTCGCTGCTTTTTTCCCTGACAGCCAGAATAGGGTCTGGCACACAGTAGGTATACAGTGATTATTTGTTAATATTTGTTGAATTGAAATGTCTGTTTTCCCGCAGTGGATTGTGAGTCCTTGGAAAACAGATGTTTCATTCATGCCTTCATCCCCCATGCCCAGCGCAGCGGCCCCGGCGTTCATTCCTCCGTAAACTGTGGTCATGAGAATGTGGACATAGCCAAGTCCTCTGTCCTGACGACACAGCTTTTCCTAGTGAATTGCTGCTTGTAAAGAGCTACCTTAAGTTTTGTCAAGAAGTCAGTGTTAACGGATAACTTTGTTTCTTCTCTTCCAGCGGTCCTAATCGTGGGCATTACATTACTATTGTGAAAAGTCATGGCTTCTGGCTTTTGTTTGATGATGACATTGTAGAGGTTGGTATGCAGAGTGTTGTTCTACAATAGGTGTGGGCGCGGATGGCATTTGGGGGATGTGTGTGTGTGGACATTTTCGAAAATAGGCCCATGTTTTCATAATGTGACTTGAAAACAACTTATATTTCTCTCAGAAGTAAATCTCCCCATTTTTTTTTTTTAAGATTTTTTATATTGGGGACTTGGGGAAGGGGAACAGCCAAGTTGTTGTCCTTGAATCTTAGTTGTGGAGGGCGCAGCTAACTCAGCTCCAAGTCCAGTCACCACTTGGCCGCCATTTGGCAGCTCGCAGCTGCTCAGCTCAAGGTGCTGTGTTCAATCTTAGTTGTGGGTGGGCATAGCCCACCATCCCATGCGGGAGTCAAACCGGCAACCTTGTTGTTAGGAGCACACGCTCTCACCAGCTGAGCCATCCTGCCACCTGTTGGCAGCTCAGCAGCAGCTCAGTTCAGGCGCAGATCACTGGCCCATGTGGGAATCGAACTGGCGACCCTTTTGCTCAGAGCTCGTGCTCTAACCAACTGAGCCCCTCAGCCGGCCCCTGCTTCCCATACTTTATGGAAAGAGAAGAGGTATGATCATGAACTCATTAATAGTGTGTTTTGCTAAGTTAACTCATCAGCCATAAATATGGAATCTCTATGCCACCATACATCATATTTATATGTAAGTCCTGTTCCCAACATGACTCAGGCCCTCTCTGGTACAGACCACATAATAAACTTCAAAGTTCTATTAATATTCTCTCATTATACCAAATGTTTCTTGTATTGGTTATTATTTAAATACATTTATTCAGTCTTTTGGACCTGGGAGTCTTTATATTATACCAAAGTATTCCATATATTGATTTTGTTGTAAAGGAATACTAGCCGGAGAGAATTTCACTAAAGGAAATGAACTATGAAAGAATCAAGGTTTATTCCCCAGACCCTCCAGTTTACCATTTGAAAGACAGAAACCCTGACTTCTTCAAAGAATGCTCACATATGGCTGCTGATAGATTAAAGGGTGGCTTTCTTCCCCAAAGATTTGCAATTTATGTAATCATGTTCCTCTGCCAAGTCTGTGGGTTTATCCATTTGCTATTGAAAGTTCCCAATTGTGATTTTATAGCCAACAGTGTTTCTTACTTTTTTTTTTTGTGCATTCCATTAATTTGTCTTTCCTTGTAATCATATTAAACAAGTATATTGTTGTTGTTTTTTTCTCTTATATTGCAGAAAATAGATGCCCAAGCTATTGAAGAATTCTATGGCCTGACGTCAGATATATCAAAAAATTCAGAGTCTGGATATATTTTATTCTATCAGTCAAGAGAATAACTTAAAGAACTGTGGGACTAATTCAAGTGGGGGGAAATGTTCAAAGCACTATTACTTGGTTTCTCTGCAGACTTTCTTCTTCCCCAGTGGCCCCACCAATGGTATTACTCCAAGTCTCAATGGTCTGGCTGTGTTAGACTCTCTCTTTCTTTCTCTCTCTCTGTTTTTTACATGCAGCACTATTCGTGGTTTTATTTTAGTCTGAGGTAGAGTTAACTGCAATCAGATTGTAGTAAGATTTATATAAATAACAGTTGCTAACTTTAGGATCGAGTAAAAGCTGTGCCACTGGCTGTGTCTGGCTGAGTTGGAATGACATTTCCTACGAATATCTGCAGTCTATTTGGGGGTCTTTGCTAAACTTCCTAAATGACTTCCAGGGTCTCCTTTCAGTGCATTCCTTTACCTTGTCCCTGGAAGCATTGCTACCCATTTTTAGCTTCTCTGCCTCTTACCTGACAGAAGAATTGGGTAGATGTTCACCTTTTAGGGCAGCAACTATAGCTTTAAGTTTGTGCAAGTGAAAATGTTTAAAAGTGAGTGACCTCGATACTAAAATCATCCTCCAGGTGGAACAGGGTGAAGAGCTGTTTGTGGTGGCCCGCGTCTGCCCTGGGCTGTGCTCACCTAGCCATTAGAATTCACGGGGCAAAGAAGGTAAGGAGCTCAGGGCAGGCAAAGACAAGAGGAGGAAGCACTTGTGGACAGTGAAAAGTTACTTTTCTTATCTTTCTACCAAAACCAAGTTTCAGGAAAATAACTCTTTGTTGTTTGTTTTTAGTGACACTTTCTTCTGTAAGGTCCTGTGAGTTGTATCTATCCTTTATCTGGCACTGCTAAGCTTTCCAAGGTGTGTTTCCAGACCTGCTGGTGTTTCGCAGTCTGTGGTCGCAGGGCTGGGACACCAAAGGGACTGCCTCCTGCACAGCTCTTCTTAGTCAGTCAGTACCAGCATCATTCTTTATCCAGAAGAACGAAGGCACTGCACCTTTACCATCAGCAGCATTGTACAGCTGTTCACTTTTTAACATTTCATTTTGTTTACCGAGGCACTGGCAAGTCCTAGGGCTAACATGGAACCTTCCCTAGAGGGAACAATGGAGTTAGCTGGGTGTGAAGATCGGTCAAAGGACGTGTCAGTGGGTGCGTGAAGGAAGGAACAAAATGGCGGCATTTCTTTGGCTCAGACTCCTAGAATGCTTGACAAGACAGAGTTTTTTGGAAGAACCTCATCTCACCATAGTTACTTTTACTTGTTTCACTTTTGTTATGTATGTATTTATTAGATCATTTGAGTATTGGCACCTTTTATTAAAAGGGTCGATGTGGTGTTTTGCCGTTGAGTTCATTTTTGGTTTCCTACAAATACTATGAGTCATAGACCTTCCTTTGGGAAGTCAGCTGACTTCCATACACTATAATATACTGTGAACATATTATTTTGTTACCTAATAAATCAGCGAACGAACATGCAAACGTTTGGCATAATGTGAACTAAAATTGAAATTGAAAATGTTAGTGGCCATTTTGCAACAATTAAGAGCATAGCACTTTATCTAGATGAAAACTGGATTTCTTATCTTTAAAATATCTTGAACTGTTTATTGCTCAGAACTTAAATAAGCATGCTAACACTTCATCTGTTCATGCTTGAAGTGAAATGTTTTACTTTTCACTGGAGAAGACGAAAACAGGGTGATCTTCACATTATTGTTTTATACGAGTGACAAAAATATATCTTGCCTTATTTAGAGGCAAATTCATATTTATAAATATTTTGTCTGTTTTTCCTCCATGAAACATATGCAGTAATCACTTACCGGGAAGGTGAGTTTTTATTCTGTTTTTTAAGGAGAGACACTTTCCAATTGATTGATATAGGAAACTGTTTGTACTATATATAACCCATATATTTGACTGTAGGTTGCAAAGTTTAAAAAAAATGATGGTTGATATCTAATATATTTGGAACTGATTCTAAGCAAAACTATTAAAATTATCTTTGAAATGACTCTTGAAGCTAATTTATTAGAAAAAAAGTGTTTCATTTGGAAGCCTATAGAAGTAATATCCACATGCCAAGTCATAGGTTCAGTACTTTTTTTTTGATGTGTAATGAGTTTTTTTTTCCAGTGACTTAACTGAAGTAATTCCTTCTAATAGAAAGGGTCAGTTAAAATTCAGTATTCATGACAGATTTTTGAAATAAAAAAAATAAGTATGGGAGATAATGCAAAGACATTGAAATGGTTGTGTGACACAGGAAAAGAAGATCGGAAAAAGACCAACACACACTTATCCACCAACACTCCGTCAGTTTTTTAAGCATTAGAGCTATCTGGTCATCTCTTCCCTCTTCCTCTTCAGTTAATGAAACAAACACTAGGCAGCTACATTACACACACACACACACACACACACACACACACCCCGCCAGCCCCCCAGTCATCCCTGTTTATGTAAAGACAGCATGCAAACACTTTTTCATTTTTTATCCCTCATTCATCACAAAAAGCAGAGATTGGTGTGGGATATTTGAGACCATTCTGAGGTCAACGATAGCACAAAGACTCAACAATATGCCCTCAAATGGCTGGCGTTTTTGTGTGTCATTTTCTGGCAGGAATGAGTAGGCCTGTGGTATTTCTTTTTGACTGCTGGGTGATTTAAAATAAGTTACAGTGTTTTTCACTTAAAGAAAAAAAAACATTTGCTTTATTGGTTACTTACTAGTTTAGCATCTAGATTATGGTACAGTATGCTAAAAAGTCATTTGTTTAAAGGTAAATTTTGGTCAAATGCTGACATCAGTCCTGGTATGTTGATGCATTTTCCATTCCAAGGCAATGTGAAGTGGCCTGGTTTGGAAAGAGCTAAGGAACAACTCTAGAAGGTGTTGGCTTGAATAGGAAGCCAGTCGTATTTGGTGTTATAGCCTGGGATATTTTGTATTTCAGATGAAGTGGGGGGAAAATGACAGAAATGGCCCCTATGCATTTATTTCCATGGATGCCCTTAATCTCATGGGCCTGCCTGACAGTGGACTATGTCCTAACGGGCATAGGACTTATTTTAGATATTGGAGTGTGGCTTTATTACAGATGGATTTTATCTTTGGACATCACGTTTTGATCAACATTGTATATTCATGTGTATTAAAATACTGTGCACTAAATGTTTTGCCCTTGTTTGCTGTCATATGGTCAAGGCATTTATTAGCACTGTTGTGATTCACTCGTGTAAATGGCATGGGTCAGGGGAAATTATTTCCTACTTTTCTGTCTAATTAAATTTCTGTTTTCCAGTATTACATTAATTTATTTTTGGCTTCCCTTTCTGTGTAACCAAACTAGTTACTGTATGTGTGTGGCATTCATATGATTCTGTTGCTTAAAAAACAAAACAAAACAAAAATTAGTTTTTATTTAAAATAATCTGTACCTTAATTTTTTTAATGTAACCAATTCAAGCACTTTAAGCAATAATGTCAATCTTGTGAAATTTCAATCAGTTTAACAACCCCTCCCTCTAAAATTGTTTGCAAAATAAAAATAAATAAATAAAATAGGAATTCTCTTCTTAGAGAATTATATCCGGGTAATGTGACACAGATGGACTTAAAATCCTTTTTAGAAAATGTGAGCCATTGGTAAATCTCATGTCCAGGTAAGCATTCCAGACTTGATTTCAAAGCAGTGGATAAATATTAAGAACATTCTGGTGGTTGTAACATATAAAGGCGGTGCTACTTTCAGGGTTGATAAAGTCAATGTTCTGGAGATAATTTACCACTTTTTTAAGTGAAAAGATTAACGAAATTAACCCAGAAACCTGTATCTGGGGAATAGAAAGTTGAGAATATTAGTGACAAACAAAAAAATTAGGGGCAGGTAATTAAACATTATGATGAATTGTTTAGCTGGGACTTTGCATATAAAATAAAAGATCTGTTCCAAAAATAAGGAAATGGCTTCCAGCTCTGTGAACCCATGAGCCTCTGGTTTCTAGGAAAGAGTAGGAATGCTGTCTTGGCCTTGATGTACTGACAGCCAGCCCCAGGCTTCTTGGCGGCTTCTGAGCTGTGGGGACCCCCAGTTGGGTGCACAGCTTCCTACATTAGCCTGTGGCATGGGGGGGTGGGGGGAGGACAGGTGCAGGTCCTTGTCCTATGGTCTCAGAGTATGGCCTCCAGGGCTAAGACTCAAGCTTGCTGTGAACATGCCTAAAGCTTTTCTCCCCAACCAATCACTTCAAGGGGTCCATGTGTGGACAGGAGGTTGTCATCTAAATACATTTGCCTGGACCCAATTATGGGAATGTAAACCCACAGACCAGGAGTGGGGCAGTGTGCCATTAAGTGTCCCAGTTTCCATCCATCATCTTTTGAGACAATTCAGTTGGAACTGACTAAGCTGGAACCAGAGGCTTGTTGGGCAAGTCAGCTATTCTGCCATGAAGTCTGTAGGCGGGAAGGACTTCCAAGAAATGTTTTTCAAGGCCTCCTTTTGGTCATCTGGCAAATGGGGTTTATACAAGAGGCCTATCACCACCAACATGACACAATTTCTGGGGAATAAGAAGTGTTCCCCAGTTCTCCAGATGTCCTTCCATTTCTGTTCACTGAATACTTAAAAACCACCTTTAATAGATGATGAAACCTTCTATGTCCATTGCCTTACATTTTCATGAAGATAAAACTATTGGCTAAGTCATTTTTTTTTTCCTGAGGGAAAATTTTGATTGTGGAGATAATACTAAAGACCAGCCATTTAAACTTGTCCTAGCGATGCCTCAGGTAGACAGATTTTTAATTAAATGATTATGTAGAATCCATTATATGCTAGGCATTGCGATTGGAGTTGGAGGACGAAAGGTAAAGCGGATAGAACCCTATTCTAGTTAATCGCTTCAAAAAAGAAAACAAAAAGGTCTGTGGGAAAATTTTAAATTATGGAAATAACGTGTGGAAGGAGTTCACAGTGTAGCACAGTTCGGTATTTGGCCTGGGTCTTAACGAGGAGATTGGCACTGTTTCAGATGGGTGCTGTTAGATGGAACAGGCTGGTTCTTCTTTCTCTTGGATCCACTTCTTGAAGCCCATTTCCTCCCTGTCTGCTCTCGGTAGTGCCCTAGCTTGCCTTTCAGCTCCGGGGGATGACATAGTTTTAAACACAGTGTATAAATTCCTTACATTGCAGCAGTGGACCTGCGCATCTTGGCCTCTTAATTCTCATGTTAAAAGAGCCAGAATGTTGAAAGTTTTACCAGTGGGTTTTATGAATCAAATATCTAAGCCACCTCTTTACACAATTGCTAAACAGTTAGAGCCAACCAGGGCATGAGTTTGTAAGCGATATGACTAATAATTTTATTGGCTTATCAACCAGTGTTCCCTTTGATGGATTCCCTTATGTTTTAACAGTGCTTTGCACAAAAGCACATTAGGAGCTTACAAACAAATGAAAACTGACTTCATTTTGATTATGAGACAGCAGAGTCAGAAACGACATTAGATTTTATAACGAGGATTCCTAATTTTGTGCCCATTTCCCACATGATGATTCATAATAAAGTCTTAACAACCTTGGGGGTATCATATTCATATTGTAAGTCACACAGTTGCATCTTTTACTTTTTTCCCCTCCCTAGAGTGTGCTATACAGGTTGTAGTAAGGCAGTGTGGAATTCCACAGACACTCGTCATGGGAAGGCTGGGAGCTTGTGTTACGGGTTGAAATCCTATTTTATTCTTAACTCGTTGTAGTATGAGACTTTCAGAAGAATATTGCGACTTCGATTTGAATTGGCTGGAAGTAAAATAATTTGATGTTGAAGCCAACATTTCTCTATATTTAACCAGTTCCTTCTCCTGTGATCCAATTCAACTGTGTTTGTATTTCAGAGTTTCTCTTAACTGACCTTGCCTGATAGCACATTTTGTACTGAGACAACTGAAAATAAGCACAAGAAAAAGTAAAGAGTGAGCTTTCATACCTCTTACAGCAAGCTTTCATACTTCTTCATGCTGTAGCTCATCTCCAGGTTGAGAATTGCTGTTCCCCATGCTAAAAGATACAAAAATATTTTTTAATGGCTTGCAAAACCTGTGTGAAGAACAGACTCATTCTGTTGGCCTCCCTCGCACCCCCACCCCAGGATAAATTGTTTGAAAACTTTGAAAAGAAGTTACTTCTGCATATTTTTTCATCTCCGCTACTCCAAAGCCCAGAGAACAAAATAAGTATAAATTGCTAACCTAAGTATGTCATATGTGGCCCTTGGACTTAATAAGTTTTCAGCAGAAGTCAGGGTGAAGGTTGTAGAATGGAGAGGAACCCTCTTCCTGGGTGTACATGGATAGACCTGGTCTTTAAACTAGGTCATCTAAGGAGTCTGTGAAGGTTTATGAAGAACAACCTCACCGCAAAATCTGTCCTTAGATTGGAATTTGTACAAAATGTAGAAGAAGGAGTGGGTGTGGGTGTCAGGAGTAAGAGGAGGGGAATAAGGCTAAAATCCTTCTAACTGCTTAGCTTCCCACCATGGTTTCACTGCAACACGTGTTCCAATCTTTGCACTTGCCCTGCAGGGTTACATGGGACCCCAGTGACCCTCACAAGTGCCTCTAGCTGGTTGATACACATCCTGTGCTCTTTGTTATTGCCCTAACCTGGATCTCTGATAGAATTTTAGACTCAATTTAATAGCATGAAAAAGCCCTACTAGACTTGGAATCAAGTCCAGGTGCTAGTGTGGGCTGCTCACTAGCTGGTGCCATTGTCACAGCATATGGGGAAAGCAAAGGATATGGAGTCATAAGACCTGAGTTCAAGTTCATACTGGCTTCCTGGTTTGATGGAGTTAGAGGTCAGTCATCTGTGTAAGTCAGAATTTGGGCATGACGTTGGGGTTAGGATGCTAATGAGTGGTGTATGGCAAAGGGGCTCTTCTCCACAAGTCCTCAAGGGAGACACACAATTGCCAAAACAATGGAAAGCATTGAATAACTAGTTACTTAAATAATTGAGAAGTTTTGGATTACTGTGCTATACTGTTTCATTTCATCTAATCCTCACACCATCTTCCCAGCATGAAAGACAAGACTAAAGACAGGTGAGGAAAAGAAAAGCAGTCCCTGACAGCCAGGAACTAGCCTGACACAGCTGCGTTTTAGATGTTCTTGGGACAATGCTTGGGGCTTGCAGCGGGACCATGGTGTTTTCTGGTTGGACATAAGCAATCTCACAGAACACCAGCCTCAGACAAAGTAATGCTGTGACCATCATGGAGTGAGACAAAAAACATGACTGCTTCATAATTCTACTTAAGCATAGACAGAAACAGTCCACTGCAAACAACAAAATACCAAACAATTGTCTCATACCCAATCTGAGTCACTGCTGCTGCTTTACCAGTGACGGTGTTAACTTGGCCCTCAACAGGCCCAGATGAGATTTATTAAGATACATGATCAAAGAATTATCCCCACTTCTTGACAGCACCCAATCCAGAGTGAACTTTTCCTTGAACCCTCCCCCAAATTACCAAAGTCCCAATCCCATAAATTCTTTCTAACACCCTCCTACTGAGATGCCCCATGCTTCCCCACAGTGTGTGGTCTCTCGCTGTTATGAGTGTTAAACATGATTTGTTCAACCACAGTTGTGTGCCTGGTGGTCTAGCCAGAGATTGACAGAGGAGTGTACTAGACTGAGATAAACCACTTCCTGGGATCAGCCTGCATCTGGTGTTCTGGTGGCTGGAAGGACAAAGAGCCACACATATTCAAGGTTATCGTTAGTGTCCCAATTTATATAATTGATCTACAGTAACTCCTGCCCAGAGGGGAATGGTGGTGTTGGGCTGGATGCCAAGGGAAGCATCTTACAAGTAAATTTGGATAAACCCGGACCTCAGTTTTTCCTAACCTGTAAAAGGACGTTTGAGAAGGGTTGTGATGTGTAGAAA